ATCCAGATGTCTTGCTATTTCTTCCTTAATGATAGATTCAAGCTTTTTCCCCACTACCGAAGTTAAGCTAACTGGCCTATAGTTACCTGCTTTTTGTCTACTTCCTTTTTTAAACAGTGCCGTCACTTCGGCTGTTTTCCAATCTGCGGGAACCACCCCAGAGTCCAGTGAATTTTGGTAAATAATTACTAGTGCATTTGCTATTTCCCCCATCACCTCTTTTAGTACCCTGGGATGCATTTCATCAGGGCCAGGAGACTTGTCTACCTTTAGCCCCATTAGCTTGCCCAGCACTGCCTCCTTAGTGATAATGATAGTTTCTAGGTCTTCGCCTGCTATAACCACCTTGCCATTAGCTTTCGGCATGTTATTTGCATCTTCCACAGTGAAGACCGACACGAAATAACTGTTTAATGTCTCGGCTATTTCCTCATTTCCAGTTATTAAATTGGCCTTCTCACCCTCTAAAGGACCAATGTTTACCTTCGCCACTCTTTTACGATTTACATATTTATACAAACTTTTGCTGCCTGTTTTTATATTCTGAGCTAGTTTACTCTCATAATCTATCTTACTTTTCTTTATAACTTTTTTTGTGGCTTTCTCTTGGCCTTTAAAGATTTCCCAGTCTACTAGTTTTCCACTACTCTTTGTTTTTTTGTATGTGTTTTTTTTTCAATCTGATACTTTCCTTTATTTCCTTAGACATCCATGGCTGGCTCTCTCTTTTCCTACAATTCTTCCTTATCACTGGAATATACTTCTGCTGAGCACTGTGAAAAATCGTTGTGAAAGTCCTCCACTGTTCCTCAGTTGACCCACCATAAAGTTTTTGCTCCCATTCTACCTTAGCTAATTCCTCCCTCATTCCTTCATAGTCTCCTTTGTTTAAGCACAGGACATAGGTACTGGATTTAACCTTCTCACGCTCCATCTGTATTTTAAATTCGACCATAATGTGATCGCTCCTTCCGAGAGGATCCCTAACTGCGAGATCATTAATTATGCCTGTCTTGTTACACAGGACTAGATCTAGGATAGCTTGCTTCCTCGTAGGTTCCATTACATATTGTTCAAGGAAATTATCGCGGATACATTCTATGATCCCCTCCTCAAGGCTGCCATGACCGACCTGGTTTGACCAATCAATATGTAGATTAAAATCCCCCATGATAATTGCTGTACCATTTTTACATGCATTAGCTATTTCTGTTTATTGCCTGCCCCACCACGATGTCATTATTTGGTGGCCTATAGACCACACTTATCAGTGACTTCTTCTCCCTGCTATTCCTAATTTCCACCCAAATGGATTCAACGTTTTGTTCAGTAGAGCCTATATCATCTCTCACTACTGCCCTGATATCATCCTTAAAAATCAGAGCAACACCACCTCCCTTACCTTCCTGTCTGTCCTTCCGAACAGTTTGATACCCCTGGATATTTAACTCCCAGTCATGACCATCCTGTAACCATGTCTCTGTAATGGCCACTAAATCATACCCATTTGTCATGATTTGCGCCATCAACTCATCCACCTTGTTTTGAATGCTCCGAGCTTTCAGATAAAGTGCCTTTATGCCAGTTTTTGCACCTTCTTTTTGGGTCCTATCACCTCCATTACTAACAACTCTTGAGTTCTCCTTCCCTTTAACTTTTTTCCTAATTTTCAATGGAGTTGAAGCTTCCTCGTCACCTGCTAACCTGCTGCTTTGCCTTCCATTAGTTGTCATTCTCCCTCTATGCTCACTTCCCCCTTCACCCCCCCACCTTTATAGTTTAAAGTCCTATTAACCACCCTATTTACCCTTTTCGCCAGAATACTGGACCCGGCCCTGTTCAGGTGGAGTCCATCCCAGCAATATAGATCCCTCCTGTCCCGGAACTGATGCCAGTGCCCCATGAAAAGGAAACCCTCCTTCCCACACCACTCTTTTAGCCACGTGTTTACTTCCCTGATCCTTGCCTCCCTATGCCAATTTGCATGTGGCTCGGGCAGCAATCCAGAGATTATGACCCTGGAAGACCTGCTTTTTTTTAATTTTGTTCCTAGCTTTTCATAATTCCGAAACAGGTCTTTTTTCCTAATCCTGCCTATGTTGTTGGTACCTACGTGGACCACAACAATTGGATCCCCCTCCCTCTCTAGTATCCTCTCAAGCCGGTCAGAGATGTCTCGCACCCTGGCACCAGGCAGGCAACACACCATGCGGGATTCTCTATCCTGCTCGCAAAGGATACTGTCTATCCCCCTGATGATGGAATGCCCTACAACTACAATCTATCTTTTTGCTCCCCCCTCTTGAATGGCCTCCTGGACCATGGTGCCATGGTCAGTTGACTCATCCTTCCTGCAGCCCTGTTCCTCATCCACGCAGGGAGCAAGTGCCTCATACCTGTGGGACAACGTCAAGGGCTGCGGCTCCTGTGTTCCTGTCTGCAGTGTCCCTCTACCTGCCACACTCGCAGTCTCACACTGCTGTCCCTGCCTGCCGATCGAATTAACATTAGTTAATCTACCAGGTGTGACTGCCTCCTGGAACACAGTATCCAGGTATCTCTCCCCCTCCCGGATGTGCCGCAGTGTTTGGAGTTCGGATTCCAGCTCATCAATTTTGAGCCGGAGCTCCTCAAGCAGCCAACACTTGCTGCAGATGTGGTCACTGCCGTTCTCAATGGGATCAGCTAGCTCCCACATCATACAGCTACAACACATCACCTGGCCTGCCATCTCTACTTAGTTAATTATTTAAAATTAATTAGTTTTTTTTTAAAGTTTCGCAGTGTTCTCTGCACCAGTAAGTTTACTCCGTTATATACTCAAACAGACTCTGTCTTTGCCTTCCGACCCGCTCCCAGAGGATTTGGCGTCTAGGTGACCACCCCGAAAGATAACAGAGATGAGGAAAAAAAAATGCAGATAGCTTACCTGCTCACCACACTTAGTCGTTTATTATTAGGTTAGAGGAGGTGGAAGGGTGGGAGACATAACTCCCAAATTTATTGGGTGGAAGCTTACCTTCCCAGGCTGCCCTCGCACTTTCTCCCGGACTCCCGCCGCTGAAACAACTGAAAGGAAATCATGTAGGGTTGTGGGTGTTGGGGAGCTTAGACAGGTGGGAGGGTGTGAGGCTAAGGAGAGATTTGAAAATAAAGCTGAGAATTATCAAATTATGGCATTGCTTAACTACATCTAAAGTACAGGGAGCACAGAGTGACGGGGACATGGATTTGGTGAGTGAGGGGATGCAGGAAACGGATTGTGGGAGATGGGACAGCAGTCAAGGAGCACTGGAATAATTAGGTCTAGAGGTGACCCAGATTGATTAATTGTCATGTGTACCGAACTACAGTGAAAAGCTTTGTTTACAGTCAGTACAGGCAGATCACAGCAAGCAAAGGATGTACACATCAAAAAGACTTAGACATACAGGTTACATTGCAGGTTACATTATTTGAGGCGAGAGTCATCAGTCTAATAACGGCCGGAAAGAAGCTGTTCCTGAACTTGCTGATGTGTGTGCTCAGGCTTCTGTATCTCCTGCCCGATGGAAGAGGCTGTAGGAGATCATTACCGGGGTGTGATGGGTCTTTGATGATTTTGGCTGCCTTTCTGTGGCAGTGAGCCATGTAAATGGAGTCCATGGATGGAAGGTTGGTTTCCGTGATGGTCTGGGCTGTGCACACCACCTTGTAATTTCTTACAGTCCTGGGCAGAGCAGTTGCCATACCAGGCCGTTATGCACCCGGGCAGTGTGCTTTCAATGGTGCATCTGTAGAAGTTGGTGAGGGACATTATGAATGTGCCAAATTTCCTGACTGGCCTGAGGAAGAAGAGGTGTTGTTGTGTCTTCTTGACTGTTGCATCTACATGGGAAATCCGGGACAGGTCATCAGTTATCATCACTCCGAGGAACTTGACGCTGTCCACCCTCTCAATGTCAGTTCCATTGATATAGATGGGGGCGTGTTCTCTTCCTTTCTTTCTGAAGTCAATGTTCAGTTCTTCAGTTTCACTGACGTTGAGAGACAGATGGTGTCATAGTGCAATGAAAACAAAGCCCTCTATCTCCCTTCTGTATTTTGACATGTCGTTGTTAGATATCCGTCCTACCACAGTGGTGTCTTCAGTCAACTTGTAGATGGCATTCATTTGGAATTTGGCAACACAGTCATGAGTGTACAGGGAGTACAGTGGGGGGGGGTGTACAGGGAGTACAGTGGTGGGGGGCGGGGTGGACAGGGGGTACAGTAGGGGGCTGGGGACACCTCCTTGGGGGGCTCCAGTGTTGAGTGTTATTGTGGAGGGGGCGCAGTTACCTATCCTCACTGATTGTGGTCTGTGGGTCAGAAAGCTGAGGATCAGTTGCAGAGGGCAGAGCCGAGACCAAGGTCATGGAGGTTTGAGATCAGTTGCAGAGGGGTTAATGGTGTTGGAGGTGGAGATGTAGTCAACGAGCAGGAGTCTGACCTAGGTGTCCTTGTTGTCCAGATGTTCCAGGGATGAGTGCAGGGCTGGGGATATGGCATCCTCTGTGGATCTCTTACGTCAGTAGGCAAACTGTAGGGGATCAACGGGGGTTGGGAGACTGGAGTTGATGTGAGCCATGACCAGCCTCTTGAAGCACTTCATGATTATTGAGGTCAGAGGCACTGGGCGATGGTCACTATGGCACATTGTATGTGATTTCTTAGGTACAGGGATGAGGATGGTCTTCTTGAAGCAGGTGGGGATCCAGGTTGTAGGAGGGAGAGATTGAAGATGTCAGTGAATCCCTCCACCAGTTGGTCCCCACAGGATCTGAGTGCTCGGTCTGGGACCCCATCCAGGCCCATCGCTTTCCTTGGGTTGACTCCCAGGAAGACTGATCTGACGTGTGCAGCGGTGACAGACAAATGAGGGTTACAGCAGTGGAATAGCTGGGATAGGGGTGGAGTTGATGTTACAGATATTCACATTTATTCTTGCTTAAATAGAAACATTTTTCTCCCATCTTTAGAAATTCAGAATCTGACCGAAAACAGGAAGATGGTCAACTCCGATCCATTGCTTTGACATCATACCCATTGTTGGTGACAGGCACAGCTGCTTCTGCTGTCTGCGCTGTCAAAACTCTGACAAACAATGGCTTCTCGGTTCCCCAGACAGAACTGTCGCTGCCGGTCTGTCTGTCTAATGGTGCAGTGGGGCACCTAACCCCTGTGTGTGGCACTGATAGTAACTGTTCTCACCACCTCAAGAACCAGCCGGTTGTGGTGCTACAGAGTGTGTCAGCTGCCCCTGTCCTCATGCTGTACAGAAACAGTGACTGCACACCTGGGCCCAGTGACACCCAAACCCAGCGACGCAAAGAGACTTCGTCACCCATAACCAGGGAGAGTGAGGCCAGCTCATTAACCAGAAACTCCAAGAAACGTGGCCCCACTGAGCAATGTCCCCTACCTCCTGAACCTTGGGAAGATGGTGGACCAGAGACTAAAAGAGGGAAAATTCTCTCTTGCCTTGAACATGCCTCTGGAAGCCAGCCATCAGCGTTGTGTTTATCATCAATGGACAAGGTATGTGTTTGAGTGACTGTGTGAGTGGATCCCAGGCTCCTGGAGCACAATTTTGGGAATTGTCACAGTTCAGCAACTTTCCCTCATTTTTTAAAAAATCGTTCACAGGATGAGGGCGTTGCCAGCATTTATTGCCCATCCCTAATTGCCCAGAGGGCAGTTCAGAGTCAACCACATTGCTGTGGGTCTGGAGTCACATGTAGTCCAGACCAAGTAAGGATGGTAGTTTCCTTTCCCAAAGGACATGAGTGAGCCAGATGGGTTTTCCCAACAATTGACAACAGATTCATGGTCGTCCATTAGACTCTTAATTCCAGATCTTTTTTATTAAATTCAAATTCTACCATCTGCCCTGGGGGATTCAAACCCAGGTCCCCAGAACGTTACCTGGGTCTCTGTATTAGCAGTCCAGCGATAATACCACAGAATCATACAGCTGTACAGCACAGAAACAGACCCTTCGGTCTGACCTATCTGTGCTGACCAGATATCCTAAATAAATGTAGTCCCATCTGCCAGCATTTGGCCCATATCCCTCTAGACCCTTCCTATTCATTTTACCCATCCAGATGCCTTTTAAATGTTGTAATTGTACCAGCCTCCACCACTTCCTCTGGCAGCTCATTCCATACATGCACCACCCTCTGTGTGGAAGAGATGCCCCTCAGGTCCCTTTTAAATCTTTCCCCTCTCACCTTAAACCTACGCCCCTCTAGTTTTGGACTCCCCACCCCCACCCCCACCCCCGCCCCCGGGAAAAAGACCATGTCAATTTACCCTATCCATGCCCTTCGTGATTTTATAAACCTGTATAAGGTCACCCCTCAGCCTTCAACGCTCCAGGGAAAATGGCCCCAGCTTATTCAGCTTCTCCCCATAGCTCAAACTCTCCAACTGTGGCCACTCACTTGTAAATCTTTTCTGAACCCTTTCAAGTTTCACAACATCCATCCTATAGCAGGGAGACCAGAATTGCACACAGTATTCCAAAAGTGGCCGAACCAATGTCCTGTACAGCCTCAACATGACCTTCCAACTCCTATACTCAGTGCACTGACCAATAAAGGCAAGCGTACCAAACACTGCCTTCACTATCCCATCTACCTGCGACTCCACTTTTAAGGAACTATGAACCTGCATTCCAAGGCCTCTTTGTTCAGTACCACTCCCCAGGACCTTACTATTAAGTGTGTAATATCAGCCCTGATTTGCCTTTCCAAAATACAGCACCTCACATTTATCTAAATTAAACTCTATCTGCCACTCCATGGCCCATTGGCCTATCTGATCAGGGTCCCGTTGTACTTTGAGGTAACCTTCTTCGCTGTCCACTACACCACCAATTTTTGTGTCATCTGCAAACTTGCTAACCATACCTCCTGTGTTCACATCCAAATCATTGGTATAAATGAAGAAGACCATTAGGCCATTACCTCCCCACTCATATCAAGTGTTAAACTACAGCCATGCCTTCAAGCAAACCAAGGTCATCAAAGCAGGAAGTAACTAAAAGTGACTCAGTGCAGGGACTGCCTTTAGCAGCGAGAGAGAAGGTCATTGCTGGTGGAGTGCCGTGCTGCCGGATGATCCACATAGAAACATAAAAAAAAATAGAAGCAGAATTAGGCCATTTGGCCCTGCAAGCCCCACACTATTCAATATGATCATCCAACTCAGACCCCGTTACATGTTTCTCCTCAAACCCTTTAGACCTTAAGAATCATAGAATCCCTACAGCGTGGAAACAGGCCATTCAGCCCATCAAGTCTACACTGACTCTCCAAAGAGCATTCCACCCATACTCTCTCTCCTCCTAGGCCTTAACCTTGCATTTCCTATGGCCAATCCACCTAATCCACACTGTGGGACAAAACTGGAGCACCCAGAGGAAACCCACACAGACACTGGGAGAATGTGCAAACTCCACACAGACAGTCGCCCGAGACTGGAATCAAACCTGGGTCCCTGGCACTGAGGCAGCAGTGCTAACCACTGAGCCACCATGCCATCTCATCTCCTTGTTGAAAACATTCAATACTTTAGCCTCACCCACGTTCTGTGGCTCCTGATGGATTAAAACTCCAATTGGCCCACCCCATTCCCCCAAAGCCTGACATTTCACAGCCTTTTCTGGAGAACATGTTCAGGACTCAGAAATTCACTATCTGATGAGCTTTAGGATATTTCAAAGGTGTGATTGGTGCTATTATCAAGCTCAGTCTGTCTTTTAATGTCTGACTTCAATCAGTATTTGTACTTCTTTTCAAGCAGTCTTCTACCCAGTACCAAGATCCTCTGAGGAATTGTGCCAGAACTCCTGACCAGATTTCGCTGCCTGCTGCCTCCCACTCATCTCAAACCATTAATGTGAATCTGGAGACTAGTTACCGCCCAGCAGGGGACCAGACTCCAAGCTGTTACCAATACTCGGGCAATGCTGATGGACAGAACTCTACTGTAACAGTTACAAAGGGGCCTATAGATTTATCTGTCACTAAACCTCTCACGAAAGACTCTAATCAGGAGGTAGGTTGTCACAGAATTGTTTTGATGTAGGAGTCCATTCAGCCCATGGTGATTGCCCCGGCTCTGAGTATTTTAACATAGTGCCAGTCTCCTGCTTGTTCCTGACCCTGCACATTGTTTCTATCTAAATAACCATCCAATGTCTCACTTGAACCTGCCTCCTCCACATTTCCAGGGAGTGTATTCCACAAACGAACTACTCGCTGGGTGAAAATCACTTTTCTCACATCACCTTTGCTTCTTTTGAAAATCACTAGAAATCTGTCTCCCGTTCTCAGTCCCTTTCTGACACTGAACAGTTTGTCCCTAACCACTTTGTTCAGACTTCCCACGAGTTTGAAAATTTATCAGATCTCCTCTCAGCCTCTTCTTCAGGAGAATAATCCCAACTTCATCAAACTCCCCTCACTGCTGCAGTGTCCCATCCCTGGAACCATTCTGTACATCACTTCTACGTTTCTATGCTCTGCCACCCACAATTCTACACAATACTTCAGCTGGGGTCTAATGAATATCTTACACAAGTTCAATATCCCCTCCCTGCTCTTGTACTCTATGCCCCTGTTAAAAAAGCCAAGGGCACTGTCTGCTTTATTCACTGCTCTCTCTACCTGTCCTGCCGCCTTCAATGATCTGTGCACATGTACTCCAAAAATGAGATTGGTAGGAAATTGTAGAGCTGAGGGCCTCAGCTGATGGAACAAATAACCTCTGGGATGTTGAGGAGTATGAAAGCAGAGTTGCTGTATTCTTATCTACATCCTTTTTGTTTTTAAGATCTGTTATTTTACACAAACAAGCTCAGAAACAACAGTTATGGTCCCTCGTTTTTCTATACATTTTAAGGTACAAATATGCAAACTAGGACTATGGTAGGCCATTCAGCCCATTGATGCTGTGTGACATTTGATAAGATGGTGGATGATATGATGGTGGTCTGAATTCTCTTGTCTACCCTGATACAATTTGACTCTCATTGACCGAAAACCTGTCTAACACCACCTGAAAAATATTTAATAAGCCAGTCTCCACTGCTGTTAGGGGAAGAGAATTCTACAGATTAATGATCCTCACAAATAGTTCCTCCTTTGTTTTAAATGGATGACCTCTTATTTTTAATTCATCCCTAGTTTGAGTTTTTCCCATGAGAGGAAACAGCGTCTCACTGAAGTGCCCAGAGGATCTTTCATCTTTTAATAAGATTGTCTCTCATTTTTCTGAAGTCCAATGGATATAAAACCAACCTTTCCTCATGCAATAACCCCCTTCACCCCAGGAACCAGTCCAATGAACCTTCTCTGCACTGCTTATAATTCATTTATGTCACTTGTTAAGGTGATCAAAACTGTGCAGAATACTCCAAATGTGTTAGCACTGCTGCCTCGCAGATCCAGCAACCTGGGTTCAATTCTAACCTCGGGCAACTGTCTGTGTGGAGTTTGCACATTCTCCCAGTATCTGTGTGGGTTCCCTCCGGGTGCTCCGTTTTCCTCCCACAGTCCAAAGATGGGTGGATTGGCCATGGGAAATGCAGAGTTAAAGCGACAGGGTAGCTGGGGTATCTGGGTTGGATACACTTCAGGGAGTTGGTGCAGACCCAAGGGGCCGAATGGTCTCTATCTGCACTGTAGGAATTCTGTGATTCTATGTGGTCTCACAAGGGGGAGGCGATGGCCTAGTGGTATTATCACTGGACTGTTAATCCAGAGACCCAGGTAATGTTCTGGGGACCCGGGTTCGAATCCCACCACGGCAGATGGTGGGATTTAAATTAATTAAATATCTGGAATTAAGAATCTAATGAGGACGATGAATCCATTGTCAATTGTTGTAAAAACCCATCTGGTTCACTAATCCCCTTTAGGGAAGGAAACTGCCATCCTTACCTGGTCTGGCCTACGTGTGACTCCAGGCCCACAGGAACGTGGTTGACTCTGAACTGCCCTCTGGCCAATTAGGGATGGGCAATAAATGCTGCCTGTCCAGTCATGCCCTCATCCCGTGAATGAATAAAGAAAAAAAATGAAGCAGTTATAGCTGGGATTAAGCATGCCTACTTTTAAATTCCATTCTCCTTGCAGTTAGCAACAATATTCCTCTTGTGATCCTAATCACCTGTTGTAACTGCAGATTCTTTATATGCCAGGACACCCAGATCCCTCTGCACCTTAAATTGTCGTCTTTTCAATAATCTGCTGCTTTTCTGCTCTTCTTGCCAGAGTAGTCAAGCTCATATTTTCCTGCATCGGCTCCATCCGCTGAAGTATTGCCCACTCACAGAACTGATCAATATCCCTTTGCAGACTCCTCGTGCTCTTCACAACGTGCTCTCCTACCTCTCAACAAATTTAGCAAATCTCAGCAAACTGAGTAGCAGTCTGCCTCTGTATGCAAGTCTCTGACAGTATTAACATTGAGGGCAATGGGGAAGGGGAGCGGGGTGGGGATGGACGAGTATCCCATTTCTTGAATACACTGGATAATTGGTGTTGTCTCTCCTAGCCCCCAGTGGTCTCTGGAAATCTTACGCCTGCTTCATTTGTGCTCCATGCTCCGTGTGGATTGGCTGGAAGGAGCCAGAGCTGTGGATCAGTCCCTCGTCCTGGTGAGTTTTTAACAATTCCATTCCGCCCCAGCCTTGTTGGAGGCGCTGTCTCTCTCTGCGGGACATTGTTCCCGAGACTGAACAGGTCGTCAGTCCGAAAGCTTCTCAATTTCAGAATGTTTCCAAACACTCATTAGTTCTGGAAGCACTGACTGGGAGAAGGACACCATGAAATGAGCCTTTATTATTTTTAACTGAGGGGTGGTCTGCATTAACGAATTGATTGACTAGTGACAGTCAGTGAGTCTGAGCTAATTGGAATATTTTTATGGTATGGTTTCCCTTTTACTTTTCAATATGAACCACACACCACAAAACCCAGTCAGAGTCAGAACCTTCCAAACCCATAGCCACTTCCATCTAGAAGGACAAGGGCAGTGGATACATGAGAGCACCACCCCCCTGCAAGCTCCCCTCCAACTCGCTCACCATCCTGACTTGGAAATATATCTCCGTTCCTTCAGTATTGCTGGGTCAAAGTCCTGGAATTCCCTCCCTAACTGTATTGTTGATGTACCTACAGGCCAATGAGGTGGTCACACCACAAGTAAAGATCGACCAGGCAGAGAGAGAGCATGGGTATGTACCAGCCAGCAGATAGAGTGAGGCTCATGGGGTAGGGTCCTCTGTGACCCTTTCCCTTTCTAACTGATACACCATTTCGGACACAATCTCCTGGAAATATTTGGGAACCAAAGGTCTAGTGAGAGGCAGCAACCGAAGGAAATCTGTATTAGTAAGAACGTGACCCCTGGTTCTATGTTCTCCTATAAGATGAAAAAGTCCTCTCCACACCCACGCCTTTCAAACAAGTCTGTTATTGATTGTCTTAAACTCAGCTATAAGCCTTGCTTTCCCAACCCTTCCTCACGAAGCAGCCTGTCCATTCCAGCGATTAGTTTGGTAAAGATGCTGCAAGCTTCCCTGATTACTGGCTGTACCTGTATGTGAACCTTTTGTGATTCATATGCTCTGACACCTAGATCACTCTGAGCTGTGCAATCCCTTGCCATTTACATAAGGTGCTTTTTTTTATTCTTCCTGCCAAAATGGACTATTTCCTACTTTGCCACGATATATTTGCACTCTTTCTTGCTCACTTGTGCACTCTTTCTCCCTCTTTACTCATTCACTCTCTCTTGCTCCCTCTCACTCGTACTCTGTTCCTTTTTGTCTTTCCTGTGTTTTATATGCCACTGCTAAACGCACTGTAATGATGCTTAACTAACTTTTATTTTCTCTCCACTCTCCTATTTGACAGGGACGAACGAGTTGAATTTGTTGCTTTCCACTAATCCAAACCTTGCTGGTATCACCATCTCACCAGGACACGTGGGATCTGTTAGTCTGCCCTATCAGGTGATGATGCCAGTGCTTTGCCAACCTCTTGCTGCTCCAGAGTCGTTTGGCAACTCCATTCCCAACAATGGCCTTGTGCCTTTCAACCTGAAGCTGCTACCTAATGCCCAGCTTTTAATGGGTAGTGTTTCAGTACCAACACTGAATGAAGATGCTGTGAAATCCTCCTCACCAACACGGCAGATTTACTCCCCTGTGCCCACTCCGACATCTCAAGGAGACCTTTGCAACAAACCAGACCCTGTGCCACAGGTGTCCATTGCAAGCAAACTTCACGAGGAGGTAAGACTTTGCAGGGGAACAGAGGCTGTAATGTTTGACATTGAACCATCTGCAGCAAGGAAGCAACTTTATCCCGACATCTACAGAAACTGCAAAATCCTCAGGCGATTGGGCTGTGGCTAATATGGAAACTCCAGTTTCCAATTCAATTGTTGGATTGCAAATTACCCCTTTATCTGATGGTTTGGTGGATCTTTTCAACTGTGCGTTTAGATAAATCACTAATGCATTTGTTTAATTATATAAATAAAAACAAACTGCTGAGGAAACTTGGCAGGTCTGGCAGCTTTTGTAGAGAGAGAGAAACCAAATTCTGAGGAAGGGTCACTGGACCCGAAACATTAACTCTGTTTTCTCCTCCACGGATGTTGCCAGACCTGCTGAGCTTTCCCAGCAACTTTGTTTTTGTTCCTGATTTACAGCATCCGCAGTTCTTTTGGTTTTTATTTAACATTTCATCTTGATTACCTATTTGTTAGAACCCCCGAGTTCCCTTTCAAGAGATCACATTGATTCAGCCCAGCCATAACGCAGTTTTCTAACTGCCCTGTTACACTCCTCTTTAAAAATAAATTCGAGCATTTCCTGAAAACTCTTGTCAGGCTGTTTTTCCCCTCCCTTGTTTCTTCAATACAGGAATTGTACTTTCAACTTTCCTATCCACCAGGACCATTCTGGAATCTAAACAATGCTGGAAACTCTTAACCAGTGGATCCTCTATGTCTGCACCGCCCTCTTTTTTTTTTTAAAAGTTTAGGATGACTGTTATCAGATCCCAGAGATCTAGGGATCAGATTCTTGGAAATGTTTGACACTTACTTATTTCTGTACATTTCCTGTAGTGAGAGGAACTACTTTAAATGCCTCATTCTGATTAGCTCCTTTGTAGCTCACTGTTTCCAGAATGTTCTTTTGTATTTTGTGAAGGTAAAGAAATGAAATACTATTTCTGTATTTCCCCATATTTGCTATTGTCATGTCTCCCCTCCAGCTTCAGGGTCCGTGTTTACTTTTGTTAATCTCTTCTACATTTTATAGATTTAGAGAAACTTTCTGATTCTTGTATTTCTAGCTAGTTCACTCTCATTCTGTTTACTTTCTCAATTTTAGTTTGCGGTCCTTTGATTTCTATCGGACTCCTTCTCTATGCTAAGCCTGCCTATCTCCAGCTCTGTAACATTGACTGAATTCAGCTTGTCTCAGCTTATCAGCTGCCGAAGCCCTCGTCTGCTTGAGAACCTGAGGCTTGTCACAAAAAGGTCATTGACTGGAGACATTAACTCTGCTTTTGCCTCTATAAAAGCTGCCTCAGGACCTGACTGTTCCAATATTCTGCTGGCTGCTCTCACACATTTCAACATCAGTAAGCATCAGATCACCCGAAACTCTGCTGCCTGTGTCCCACACACTGACTCCTCGTCAGACAGCATCTTGGTTTTAAAATTCCCAATCTTCAAATCTCTCCATGGCTCGCCCTCCTCTTCCAGTTCACTCTATTACTTCCAAAGATATGGGGTTTGTCTTAGGAGGAGAGATTGAGCAGTTAAGGCTGACACTGGGGTTTAGAAGAATGGGGTAATATCTAATTAGGGTACATATGGTTCAAAAGGGAATTGACAAAGTAGATGACATTTCCTTGTGTAGCAATCTAAAATGATAAGGGGGAGCAGAATTAAAACTGAGATTGTGGTAATTGCTTCTCTCAAAGGGTCGTGAATCTGTGGAATTCATTCCCCCCTCCAAGAGTGTGGTGGATGCTGGGACACTGTGTAAGCTTGAGGAGGAGATGGACAGGGTTAAAGGGTTATGGGGAGCAGGCAGGAAAGTGCAGTTGAGGCCAAGCTGAGATCAGCCATAATCATATCAAATTGTAGAGAGGGCTTCAGGGCCTGAGTGGCCTGCTCCTGTTCCAATGTTCATTTTAGTCTCCTCCAGGTCCGCAACCTTCTGGGAGCGCTCTGTTCATCTGATTTTTGGCCACTTGATCATTGTTGATTTTAATGATTCTGCCTGGGCTCCACATTCTGGGATTCCCTTCCTAAAGCGCTCTGCTTTGTCACATGTTACTCCTCCCTTAATCCACTTAAAACCTACCTCTTTGTTCAATTTTTATCTCCAACTGTAATATCTCTTGCTGTACCTTAACAACATTAAACAGCACTCTAGTGAAACACCTTGGGATGTTTTATTTACATCTAAGCTGCTATCTACGTGTAAAATTGCTATTGCTCCTTTTAAAGTCACCTCTTCCCTGTCCTAATAGCTCAAGACAGGATCAGATTCTAAAACCTGACCCCCACCGTCCCGTCCCGGCTGAGAGTCATTGGCCTGTTGCTGCTAGGTTTCTCCTTGCACACTTGCGTAAATAAAGCTGTCATGGGGTTTTAATTCACTAGGTACGGGCTGGGTGGGCCAGCATTTATTGCCTGAACCTGTTTGTCTCACTTCAGTCTCGCTCCTCCCACATATTCAGGCACGACAGGGAGATGAAGGGACCCCCTCAGCTATATCCACTCCAATTCCTTTAACAACCAGCCATGTGAACCATCTGGACGAGATGACTAATCCACTCCCAAAGCTGCCAGCCCTTCCAACATATCCTGCTATCTCAATCTTCTGCCCAACCCCATTGTCTTAACCTTCTCAGCTTGTCCTGATATTGTGTCCGCATTCTCTCAGTAGACACTGTGACACCGTGTTCTCATTTTGCCCAGGGAGCCTTGTCTTTTTATTCGCTGATAGGACTCTCAGTGCCCCCTGCAATTATGTGCCAGCTCCTTTAGACTGCCTGCCATTTTGTTCTCAAGCTGTCTCTCTGCCAGTTTTATTCTCATCTTTGCTTCCCCCTTAACCTGACTGCATTTGACTTGGTTCTTGTTTTAACGATTCACCTAGCCTGCACCTTACAAGTTGTTTTTTGTTTGTTTGTTTCATTATAATCTCTATCGCCCAAATTTCCCTCGTTGTGGTCCACTGCTATCTACCTATCTACAAGTTACACTGCAGAAACTGACCATAGATCCTTAGCCCCTTCCAAACCTACAACCACTGCCATCTAGAAGGACAAGGGCAGCAGATACATGGGAACGCCACCCCCTGCAAGTTCCCCTCCAAGTCACTCACCATCCTGACTTGGAAACATATCGCCATTCCTTCACTGTCGCTGCATCAAAATCCTGGGATTCCCTCCCTAATAGCATTGTGGGTCAACCTACAGCAGGAGGACTGCAGTGGTTCAAGAAGGCAGCTCACCACCACGTTCTCAAGGGGCATCTAGGGATGGTCAATAAATGCTGGGCCCAGCCAGTGATGCCCATGCCCCACGAGTGAATAGAAAAAAAATTCCTTCTTGCCAGAATAAGACTAGACCTGATTGCCTCCAGCTCAAAGGTGGCCCTTGTTCATTGGAAGTTTCTTGTCAGACTCCCAAGTAACAGAGGCATCTTCAGATGCTTGTCAGTGAAGGTGATAGTAAAGGTTAATCAGGCAGCATACGGGACACTTGCCTTTATCAGTTGTGACATCGATTCTAAGGGCAGGGAGGTGATGTTGGAGCTGTACAGCACTTTGGTGAGGCCATAGCTGGGGCACTGTGTGCAGTTCTGGTCCCCGCACTATAAGAATGCTGTGATTACACTGGAGGGGTTGCAGAGTAGATTCACCAGGATGTTGCCTGGGACGGAGCATTCCCGTGAAGAAGAGAGGCTGGATAAGCTCGGGTTGTTTCCTTTAGAACAGGGAAGGCTGAGGTTCAGCTGTGTAAGATAACGAGGGCCATGGATGGGGTGGGTAGGAGGCAGCTCTTCCCTTTAGTTGAAAGATTAATTACAAAGGGGCAGAGGGCTCTTCTGGTGCATTCGTAGTGTTCCTAACTTTGAGCTTGGAGGCCCAGGTACAAGTCCCACCTGCTCCAGAACCCTGAACAGCTTGATTAAAAATACTGAGTGATGAGGGGACATAATTTTAAAGTGAAAAGCTGGAGGTTTAGAGGAAATTTGAGAATTTATTATTCACCCAGAGGGTGGTGGGAATCTGGAGTGTACTGCCTGGGAGGGTAGTTGAGGCGGGAAACCTCACAACCTTTTTAAAAAGTACTTGGATGAGCATTTAGTGTCATTGCATTCAAGGCTATAGACCTAGAGCTGGAAAGTGGAACTAGTGGAGATTTAGAGTAGTATTTGGTGCAGACTTGATGGGCTGAAGGGTCTCTTCTGTACTGCATTCCCTCCACTCTCAGCTCAATCTCCAGTTGCTGAATATATTCAGAACTCAAATCATTAAATTTTTGGACTTTGAGGGAATCAAACTTTGAGGAGCCGTTGGAAAAGTGGTCTTGAGACTGAAGATCAATCATGACTGTATGAGTAAAAACCAAAAGAACTGCAGATGCTGTAAATCAGGGACGAAAACAAAGTTGCTGGAAAAGCTCAGCAGGTCTGGCAGCATCTGTGAAGGAGAAAACAGTTAACGTTTCTGGTCCAGTGACCCTTCTTCAGAACATGTTCTGAGGAAGGGTCACTGGACCAGAAATGTTAACTCTGTTTTCTCCTTCACAGATGCTGCCAGACCTGTTGAGCTTTTCCAGCAACTTTGTTATGACTGTATGAGTGATAGAATGGGCTTCATGTGCTGACCTGCCTACTCCTGCTCCTATTTCATATGGTACAAAGGATTCATTTTGGAATTTTTGTTTTGTTTTCCAGTCGCTGAATCTAATAACGGCCAGGAATGATGCCCCATCGTTTGTGGAATCGTACTTCCATACCCCAGTTCCTGCTGTGCAGAGAAAGAGAGTAGACTGTGTACAGGTCAAGGCAGTATCTCCAGCCCAACGCAGACTGGAAATTGAGAATAATATCTTGAAATAACAGATCGTACACGGCATCTTTTTGTCAATTGTTATCAGTGAAATAATTTCACTTGGGGTCGGCTGTCAGGATTTGCTGATGTCTATTCCAACATGAATCTCAACCCCAAAAAATGTTTACAACTCCGTGTCAAGTAGGTGAGAGGATGCCGCTATGATGGAAATGGAGATGAAATCTCAAAGCACCAAGGATCTTCATTATTTGTCCTTTTTATTCTGCAGCTTATGGGAGAGCTTTTATATTCATGTTACAATTACATTTTAACATATTGATCACCAGGCAAATTCCAAGTAGGTGTTTGGACTCGTCCGGAATCCAGAAACAACAAACTATTTTCAGTGGAAAGGTGGTGACAGGAGATTATAAAAACAGTTGTTAACCTCAAAACACAGTAACTCTCAGAATTACATTACTACTCTTTCGTAATGTTTAATGTCCTTTTGTATTTACACGTGCTGTGTGACCCGCTCTGTGCGAATGTTTCGAATTGCCACTGAGTACTGATGTGCGGCATTCTGAGAGTCCTCGGTGACAGGCAAATTCAAATCTCCTCCACTCCACCACAAGCCCGTAGGAACACTGAGACCAAAGGGTTAACTTTTAGTCACTGTACGAGACAATACTGATCGGCTGATGAGGTTTTGAGGAAATGAAGTTTCTCTCATTTGTCACGTTCTTTGTAAGTGAGATTCTTGCTCAGTATGTCTCAAACAGGGCTTAGAAGTTCATATCTGCTATTTCTGAATGACTGATTTCAGTCAATTTCACTTCAACTTCTTAAGGAATCCTTTAATATACCCAATCGCCCAAAACCAGAGCTGCCACAAAACATTTGCATTCATTTCAAACTTGTTCCTGGTCTAATCTATGGCACCTAAACTTAAACGTGTCTATGTTCCTGCCCTTCAGGGCAACAAAGTTGTATTCTTTCAAAAATCTTGCATTAAGTGTTATTTTTATTTTGAAGAGCCTAAGTTGGCAATTGGCCAGCTCTGAAGATGATGGTTCTTCAGTCCTCTAAACGTTTTCGCACATTATTGTCCCTTGCTGCCCTTTGGAGGGGGCTGACTTACTTTGGTTGTTCTGGCAGGTAATTCACTGAAGTTAGGATAACTTGGTGGTTTTTGGAATTGGACCATGGGTGTGGTCTCCAGGAATTGAAATTTTAAATTTCACCTCCTATTAATTTGGCAGCTGTTAGAAATATCTTTGATGTCCCCCTTTGGAATTTCACCACCAATGGGTTCATGGCTTGTCCTAAACCCCTCTTCATCCCAGGGAACACTATTTAGAATCAGACAAGTTAGCAAATCGGCAGCGTGAGCTACAGACACCACTGCAGATGGACAGTCTGTAAGCAACAAATGGGTGGGAGTTGATGGGGTGGACCAATATGAATTTGGGCCACGATTTAAATACTCCCTACCCCTTCCCCAGGGCTTGGCTATCTAATTAGATTCACATGATGAGCATTTAGTTCCCATTATAGTTTCCAGTGCATTGCGGTCATCTTAAATGTGTGTCTCTCACTGGGGCCTCTCCAGAGCACAGTTCAGAGTCAACCACATTGCTGTGGGTCTGGAGTCACATGTAGGTCAGACCAGGTAAGGATGGCAGTTTCCTTCCCTAAAGGACATTAGTGAACCAGATGGGATTTTACAGCACTCAGTTGCTATGGTCACTATTACTGAGACTGGTTTGTATTGCCAGCTTTATTTAATCAATTAACTTTAAAATTTCCTAACCACCACGGTAGGACTGGGACTTGTATCCACAGATAATTCGCCCAGACCTCTCAATTACTCAAAGTGCTACAAAACCTCAAGATATCAGGTTATTTTGTTATTTATGTGAACTTGGAATGTACTTGCAGAGAGAGCTGTTCACCTGGGTCTTGACTGTTCTAAAACAGCAAGAACTATAGATGAGATATTTCCCTCCCCCTCATCCGCTCCACACTCCCCATTAGCCCCACCATCCCCGGCATCTTTCCCTATAACCGCAGGAAGTGCTACACCTGCCCCTACACCTCCCCCCTCACCCCCATCCAAAGCACAAAACAAACCTTTCATGTCAGACAGGGGTTCACCTGCACATCCATCAATGTGGTCTATTGCATCCACTGCTCCCGATGTGCCACCTAAATCAGTGAGATCAAGCGGAGGCTTGGAGACCGCTTTGTAGAGCGCCTACGCTCGGTTCGTGATAAATGACAACGCCTTCCAGTCGCAAACCATTTCAACTCCCCCTCCCACTCCCTGGGTGACATGTCCATCTTGGGCCACCTCCAGTGTTACAATTACACAACCCGCAAACTGGAGGAGCAGCGCCTCATATTCTGTCTCGGGAGCCGACAACTCAATGGTCTCAAATGTGGACTTTACTAGTTTCAAAATCTTCCCACCCCCGACTTCATCCCATGACCAACCCTCCCTCTCATCCCCGCCTCCTTGACTTGACACAACTTGTCCATCTTCTTGTCCATCTTCTCACCCACCTCACTGACCAATCCCCAGCCACTGCCTACTTGCACTCACCTATCACCATCTCACCTTTCACCATCCCACCTACCTTCCCCAGCCCCACCTCTTCTCTATCTATTATTTGAGTTCTTTTCCCCCTTCCCCATTTCTGAAGAAGGGTCCCGACCCGAAATGTCAACTTTCCTGCTCCCTAGATGCCGCCTGGCCTGCTGTGTTCCTCCAGCTCCACACTGTTGTCTAAACCAGATACAGCCTTGTTTTTACATGAACGTAGAACTGTACAGCACAGGAACGGGTCCTTCTGCCCACTATGTCGTGCCAAACGTGACGCTAAATTAAACTAATCCTGTCTGCCTGCCCTTGGTCGATATCCATCCATTCCTTGCATATTCATGTGCTTATCTAAATTCCTTATTGTATCTGCCTCCACCACCAGTTTCTTGGGACTAAACTAATTTTTTGAAAGGGCAAAGAGAATTCTTTTTCTGGCTAGGTGCTGCTGTTAATGGCTCAACCCTATATGAAATCCTGGAATCCCTGATTTCCTGCCCTGCTAGAGCTGGAGGGTGAGGGGGTCACTGATTTTGTGTAGTCACCTCCACTCCTGACCTGGGAGGGAGGGGGGTCTTGGTAGTGACACTGTTACAACAATGCGTCTGTATTAGGGGGGTTTATCACAACTGCAGGGAAGAGTCAGTGCAACAGACTTTATCCATTCCCATGTAAAATATGAAATTATGATTATACTTGAACATTTTAAAAAGTGTTTACATTGTAACATACAAATATGGTGCTACTTTTGTAATTAAAATGTGGGATTCTTTCAATTTTGCTGCTTACAGCAGTGTGTTTCTGGATGTAGATGTACTGCTAGTTTATCCAGTTGGGCTTCTTTGCTGCTTTTAAACTGTTCTGTGTGCTGTATTGATAACACTTGTACGTGGAGCCCTCAGTCCTGTGCTTCTCAAATGGCTAGAGTTGGATGCAATGATAAAGTTGTTATTTTCTGATTAATTGATTTGTCTATTCTGTAAACATTATCAGGACCAAAAATTCTAGGAGTGCGCTGACTTTTCCAAAAGGCAACATTCTCATTCATTGAGTTCTGAAGAAGGGTCACTGGGCTCTCAACATTTAACCCTGCTTTCTCTCCACCGATGCTGCCAGACCCGCTGAGTTTCTCCAGCAGTTTCTGTTTTTGTTTCTGATTTCCAGCATCAGCAGTTCTTTGAATTTTGTTTATCCTCATTAATTTCATGGGATGTGGGTGTCTCTGGCTGGGTCAGCATTTCTTGCACATCCCCAGTTACCCTTGAAAATGTGTTGGTGAGCTACCTCCTTGAACTGCTGCAGTCTGTGTGCTGTACATTGCTACTAAATCCTATGGGTCAAAATTAGGCCATTTGCTCATGAGTCTGCTTCTGCCATTCGATCATGGCTGACATGTTGCCCAGCCCTATTCTCCTGCCCCCTCCTCGTAACCCTTGATCCCCTTCCAATCAAGAAGCTATCTATCACTGTCTTAAATACACTCAATGACTAGGCCTCCACAGCCCTCTGCAGCAATGAGTTCCACAGATTCACCACCTTCTGGCTGAAGAAATCCCTCCTCATCTCAGTTCCAATGGGTTGTCCCTTCACCCTGAGGCTGTGCCCTCAGGTCCTAGTCACTCCTACTGAAGGGGAACATCTTCTCCATGTCTACTCTATCCAGGCCCTTCAGTATTCCATAAGTTTCAATCGGGTCACCCCTCATCCTTCTAAACTCCAAGTACAGACCCAAAGTCCTCAACTGCTCCTCTTATGGCAAGCCCTTCATCCCTGGGATCATTTTTTTTTTGTCAACTTCCTCTGGACCCCCTCCAAAGCCAGCACATCCCTCCCTAGATATGGGGCCCAGAACTGCTCTCAACATTCCAAATGCAGTCTGACCAGAGCCTTAAACAACCTCAGTAGTACATCCTGATTTTGTATTCTAGCTTCTTTGAAATAAATGCCAACGTTGCATTTGCCTTCCTAACTGCCAATTGAACCTGCATGTTAACCTCAAGAGAATCCTGAACTAGAACTCCCAAATTCCTTTGTGCTTCACATTTCTGAAGTCTTCCATCATTTGTAAATAGTTTCTAAATTCTTCCTGCCAAAGTACATAATTTCAATTTTCCCACACTGTATTCTATCTGCCATTTGTTTGCCCCCACTCTCCTAGCCTGTCCAAATCCTCTTGCAGACTCCCTACTTCCTCAACACTACCTGCCCCTCCGCCTATCTGTGTGTCATCGGCAAACTTCACAACAATGCTCTCTCAGTTCCTTTGTCTAGATGATTAATGTATAATGTGAATCGTTGTGGTCCCAACACTGATCCCTGCAGAACTCCACTAGTCATTACCTGTCATTCTGAAAAAGACCCCAATATCCCCATTCTCTGCTCTCCGCCAGTCAGCCAATCCTCTACCTTGCCCCAAGACCATGGGCTGTTATCTTATTTAGCAGCCTCCTGTATGGCACCTTGTCG